AACGGAGGGAGTAATACTTAACACATCTATACTATATTAAAAGCACGAAGGCCCTTAGCGAAATGTCGTTCGCCTTTTTTATCCTCCCTAAATCCACTTTATAATGGATAAAATTGTAAACACAAATAAATAAATTTAAAAAAGAAGAAAAAAATTAAGAATAAGAGAAGAAGAAGGAAAGTCAAACTTTTAGGTAAAGTTTTCGTAGGTTAAAAAGGGAAAAAGAATAAGACAATAAGTAGGAGATCCATTATTTAATATCACTATTTAATATGTTATTAAAGAGGTCAAATTTTCTGTAGTTAAAAAGGGAAAAAAAGAATATTTGAAGTAAAGTTTCTAACATTTAGGTTGTTCTTGGAGTTTTGTGATATTAAACATCTTTTATGATTTTTGTAGTGCTAAAAATTTTTGTGATTTTTCACGTAGTGATCAAGCTACCAAATCAAGTCTATAATTATATTGAATGATATTCTTGTAGTTTTTTATAAGTACTATATTTATATTATAAATTTATTTTGTATATTACATGAGAAATATCCTTGTTTAACATGTCTATTTTCTATAAACGTGTAATTTTCTAACGAAGAAAGAATTGCATAAAATTAGAAACATGAGACTTAAATAAAAACGACTAATCAAATTTCATATAAAAAAGATATAACACATCACAATTAATAATATGCACGGCTAAACTACCGAGAAAATAAAAGTGGCCTAATTCTCGGATATGCTAGGAAAAGGACGTCATTAAAATTTATAATTTTAGAATATTAATTCGATTAATTGCTACGGATCTAAAAGATGTTCGTAATTTCGTAAGCACCTATAATGCTTTTTCCAACTACATATAAGACCTAATCTCATTGCTAATGTTCGATATTTGTCTCTCCAAAATGGAGCCTATTTGGCCAAATTCTCAAGTTTATTTGTTTTTTTTAGTTATTTTATAATTTCTATAATATATTTTTATTGATTAAAGAAATAGAATAATTTACATTTTGATTGTGATAAGAAAGAAAAATGTCTATTATCAGTTAGATGATCCTATATGTGTTTTTTTAGAATGAATTTAAGAATCTATACTTTTCAAGAAGATTTTAGAAAAAGAAATTTAAATTTTCAAAAGTTTATGTGTTCTCGATGAAAGTAAAAAATAATCATGACATCTTCTAATATTCATAAATGTTAAGTTAAATATTGACTAAGATGATTGAGAACTTCAATATTTTTATTGTTTCTCATTTATTGAATTGTTCAACAAAATCAACTATCATCATTTTTCAAGAACTCATATTTTTTTCTTACACTTTTTTTAATAACTCAAATATAATTATTTAATATAGTATTTATGTAATTTTAAAAAAAAATATATTCACTGAGACGGGATACACGCGCAACGCGCGTACCGTCGGACTAGCACTATATTAAAAGCACGAAGGCCCTTAGCGAAATGTCGTTCGCCTTTTTTACCCTTCAAAAATAAACTTTACATTGGAAAATAATATAATTTAAGTTAATTTCCTAATATTTAGGACTTTAAAATTAGCTAAAATTTTGATTATTAAATAGGAACTTCAAATAAACTCCTAATATTTTGGTTACATAAATATGTTTCTTATTTTAACTGTCTAAATTAATATAACTTCTCTCCTAGACGTACATTAGATATTTACCAATAAAAATAGATCTATCTTAAGACTTTAATTATTGAAGTTGACTAGGAAAATTCTAAACCAAACTTAAAGGCACATCAGTAAGAAATATCTTTAAGTAAATTTACAAACTATATGTCAATATTTGAAAATAATAATAGTTTGTAGTGGTAAAGAATACTACAATATATTTTAAGTTTTTTTTTTAACGTATTGTAATATTTACATGTATCAAATCAAAAGCTCAATTAGAATATTGGATAAGTGAAGGGTATATAAGATGCTCTAATTTATATNAGATTTTAGAAAAAAAAATTAAAATTTTCAAAAGTTTATGTGTTCTCGATGAAATTAAAAAATAATCATGACAACTTCTGATATGCATAAATGTTAAGTTAAAAATATTGACTAAGATGATTGAGAACTTCTATATTATTATTGTTTCTCATTTATTGAATTATCGAATAAAATCAACTATTATTATTTTTCAAGAACTCATATTTTTTTCTTACACTTTTTTTTAATAACTCAAATGTAATTAGTTAATATAGTATTTATATAATTTTAAAAAATATGTATTCGCTGAAACAGGATACGCGCGTACTGTACCGTAGGACTAGTGAAATAAAAAGAGATGAGAGGGCACACGAATATGTCCGTACCCATTATTTTAGTTGAAGAGTACAGTTATAAATTTATAATCTAAAGAATTAGTATACGATAGGCCGATTACTTTTGAATATAAAATATAACGTAGCAAATTGTCCTATCTAATCACAATCATTTGTGAAAAAATAAACAAACGAAATAACCCACCAATTGCAGTCACTTCGCTTCTTAAATGGGATATATAATATAGAGAATTTTTCATAAAGCACCATCTTTTTGCCCTAATTAGTCATTTATAAATACCCTTTGCTATATTACTTGTTATAGATACCTTTTATGTTTTTATACAATGTATTTCATGTATTTAAGCAGTTGTATTCATTAATACAACCAAAAAATAGGCGTAAAAACGGGAACTCCAGCTGAGGGTATCTGTATTTATCTGTATTCAAGCTGAATACAGATAAAATTCAGTAACGTTTTTGCGCAAATTCTGGGAAGTTAAACTTGTTAAAAACGGAAGGAAATAAATTCACATGATAGTCTCCTAATTTAACTCAAAGAAATAATACGAGTACACAATAATCTGCTCAAAGAAAGCAGAATAATCTTCTCCCTTTTTTCGTGAAAAGAAGCGAAAAACAGAGTGCATCCAAATTCTTCAATTCTCTTCTCCTTTTTTCGATTGATACAAATTATATACAAAATAAGGTATAGTTGCTCAATACATATGGCAAGTTTAACAGTTTTGTTGCGTCATTTTGGCAAGTGGAACGATGAGCGCAATTATATCGATTTTGCAATTGAGGGAATACTGATTAAGGAGTATGCCTCCTTTAATGATCTAGTTGCTTCAATTTCTAATCAACTGGGTGTAGATGTGAGCTCAAAGACCATTAAAATACAATACAAAGTAGAAGGAAATTGCACGCCAATGGAAATACACAATGATATGGGTTACAGAGTGTATGTAGAATTGAAAAAAGAGAACAGAGAATTTGGGATGTATCCTTTGTGCGTAACTACTGTCGAAAAAGAGCTTATAGATGGAGAAGTTCAAAGGTACGATTCCGATACTGATAATACACTGGCTATAGAATTTNAAAATAAAATTAGAGGTCTTTACACGACAAAGAGTTGTGTAATTTCGTGTCCTTTGTCTTTGTATTTTAATCAAGAACAATTTTGCCTCTTAATTTATTCGTCCTTCCCAATGAAACTACTTGTTTATATTTATATATTAAATTCTTTCTATTTAAACTATATAGTAGTATAAAAGATTTTGTAGTAGAAAATCAAAATAATTTTAACCGATTAATATTAGGTGAAGATTTGGAGCATCTTCAATTCTGTTCGTCTTTTTTACCTTTTTAAAATAAATTTCACACCTAAAAAAAGTCATTGTAATTATTTTCCTCATATTTAAGAATAATCATTCAATTATTTTTCTAATATTTAATACTCTAAATGCTTCCTTATTTAAATTATATAAAGTATCTAAAATTCAATCAGTCGTTATTCTCTTGAATTACCTGTTAACAATTAGTCAAACCATATTGACGTGCATTCAGCTAAAATAAATATATCTATACTATATTAAGAGCACGAAACCCCTATAATGTTGTTCGCTTTTTTTACCCTTTAAAGTTAATTTTATACTAGACAAATAGTCATTTAATTATTTTTTTAATACTTAGACTTCAAATTCAACTAAAATTTTCCTTATTAAAATTTTTCCTTATGTGACCAACTTTTATAAATATCCTTTTGGAGTTTACTGTGTAGCCATTAAAGTTGTTTTAATTCTTAGACTCGAGGTATATAATAGTATAGTTTTTCTCCAAATTACTAATAATTGTTTACTTAAAAATATGGTACATCCATCAGTAATGCATGTTTGCCTTTTTCCTATTAAATTCTTAAGAGTTTTGATTTAATCTTAACTTTAAAATTCTAGAAGTCTAAACTAATATGGTGTTAATTTAAAAATAAATTAAGCCACACCCATACTATGATCAAATACAATTAATTTTTAAACTTAAGATAAACTAATCTATATGAAACTCTTGAAATAACTATAAATTTTTTCTCCAATAATTTTGAAAAATTGACCTCAACATTATGAACTCTTAAAATTTTAATATTGTTATTAGCAGATTGCATTCAGAGTGAGTTTAGGATAGTATTAACTTTTATTTGGTATTGGCTGAATGCGCAAAGAAGGGAATTTAGACTTAAATCAATAAGAATCCAGGCAACTTTTTTTACACAAGAAGAGGTTCAGTTGGCTTGTCTATAATTTTGATTAACTTTGAATGAAGAATAATTTTTTTATTTTGTATAATGACATTATGAACGTAGAGTTTACAAAGAGATGCTAGATGAGATAAAATAACATAGAATATCTGCATCTTATATAAATACTATAGAACTAATTACACTACTATTCATTCAGAAAATATTGAATTTAACTATATATTATATCAATATACTAATAATATTTATTTTCATCATTTAAATATATTACCTCCATTGCTATTTTTAATAATTTGTATGCGTTTAATATTGATTAACGTGATGCACACATGTAACACACGTACACTAAAACTAGTACTAGGAGAATATGAAATAAATATAGGGTTAAAGAGAGTAGGGTTAGGTGGACTCTAAAAATGGCGGCACTGGTCCACTAAAATAGCGGCTCGCCTGCTTTTCTGATCCATAATAATAAGGCCCAATATCTAATAAGTAGTGCCCACATTTTTAACACACTCCACTCTCAGCAAAATTAGCAATCTCCGAAGTTTTCAGCAATGGCGGCTTCATCAACTCTTTCCAGTTCCATCACCACCTTCAAACTGTCCCCGTGCCAACCACGCGCCTCCTCTATTTCCGCCTCCGTCAAACTCCCTTCAATTTCCTCCAATAACCCTTTCAATCCTTTAATTTCTCATTTTGGCCCAACTCCCAAAAACCCCACCGTCGCACCCCTCCGTTGTTCCGCTGCCTCCACCACACCAGAAACCACCACCACGACCGCCACAGCATTCCACGGCCTTTGCTACGTCGTCGGGGACAACATCGACACTGACCAAATCATCCCCGCAGAATACCTAACCCTAGTCCCGTCAAACCCAGACGAGTACAAAAAACTCGGGTCCTACGCGTTGTGCGGACTCCCTTCATCGTACCAAACCCGTTTCGTCGACCCGGATGAATTCACATCCAAGTACTCCATCATCATAGGCGGCGACAACTTCGGGTGCGGGTCGTCGCGGGAGCACGCGCCGGTTGCTTTAGGAGCTGCGGGCGTGGCGGCGGTGGTGGCGGAGTCGTACGCGAGGATATTCTTCAGGAACTCGGTTGCGACTGGCGAAGTTTATCCGCTTGAATCGGAAGTGAGGATTTGTGAGGAGTGTAAGACGGGTGATGTGGTGACTGTTGAACTAGGAGAGAGTAGGTTGATTAATCATACGACTGGGAAAGAGTATAAATTGAAGCCAATTGGTGATGCTGGTCCCGTCATTGAAGCTGGTGGCATTTTTGCTTATGCAAGAAAGGCTGGAATGATTCCTTCCCGAGATGCTTAGTTTTTCAAAGTGGTAATTGATTCGGTTCACATATTTTCTTTTAATGTTTTGTACTTTAGGCTTGCTGAATACAGATGATTGCATAATAAATATGGTGTTTGTTGTATTATTTGGAGAAAAAAATCAGCACCTTTAAAAAGGTGTCTTGTGTTCTGTTATGCCTATTTCAGTATAATGGATAAACAACATCTGAATTCCAAAATAGTTGGGTTGACTGTATGATCCAAAATAGTTCTGTTATGTCTTAATTCTTTAAAATTAGATTGTTTTTATGTTTACTGTCAGCTCAGCATTGTTGCATCTTTGTCCGAGCTTGAGACGGCTTTGCTTTGTGACATAGGCTGTGTTATGTTTTATCAGAAGAACAAAAGGAAAGATGTAGGCTCTAGGCTGTGTTATGGTGGTTGCTGTATGATTTGGGAAAAAGATTCAGTTATCCTGAAAGGGTATGTTAGTAATGTTTTCTTATGCCTATATCAGGAATCATACTTGAAATATGCTTATCACTATGGCAATTTGTACTTTGAAGAGACCCGGAGAGCTTTACTTTGCTAGATCTTTCATGTTACTAGAGTTGGCATCCCGATGATTCTTTGTCACTAGCGTAAAACTCGAAAATCCGGAGTGACTTTGCTATGTGAAAAGCTTGAGTGTTTCTATTTTTCACTCTATGATGCTTGATTGTTTTATCCAGCGCGATTGTGTGGTGATATATTGTTAGATTAAGTGAGGTCTTCATGATTTGAAATGATATTAGCTCTATCTATGTCTTGTGCTCTTCGGTTTAAAGCTCAACACCACTGTCCGAACATGATCCATGTTAGATCTCTCTGATTCTCGTTGCCTGTAGGTTAAGTTTTGTGAATTAGGATCCCGAAATGGTCGCTAAAACCTGGAATTTGATGCCCTGGCTTGGTAGCTTCAGTTGTACCTTTATACCACTGGATCTTCATTAGTTTTCAGTTAGCAAAGAGCAATAGATAAGGTGTGCCTGTGTTAAGATGAGAAGTTCTGGAATATCCACGACTAACTTGATATGTCCAGGGATTTTTTTTTAAAAAAAAACTCTAGCTGAATAGTTTTGCTTCTGCAAATAGCAAATAATCTGTTAAAATCATGTTATACCAATAGCTGTGACACTGTGACTCCAAAATACTGTACAAACTCATGGCGAAATTATTTCTAAGCTGGGTAATTCTGCTTCTGTCACTTGGTGATTTGCTCATTGGTTGAAATGTTTGAGCATGAGCATTGGGAAAGATGAGGCGTTCAGATTATACATTAGTTTGCAGGAACCGATCAATTCGCCTCTGGTTTATTGAATGCCTCGATTGGTTTGTCTTTGCTAGTTTCTGTTTGATGCTCGTCCCAATTTATTTCGGTTGAAGTGCTCTCTGATCTTCTCGTCTTAAGAATTGTACACCTGCTGCATTCATAAGCAACTCCCTTGAGCATTTTAATGTTCCTTAGGATTACACATGAAATAGGTAAGTTTAAGGTGTTTTTTCTGGTTTCTTGTTGAGTCCTGAAGAGCTGTAGCAGCCTGAAATGGAGTTTATATATTAAAGAGAAGGTTTGAAAGCATGTCAATAAATTGGGAAGGCCGGCAGTTTGAGCTCGCAGAAGTCGTGGCCCTGTCACACTTTAGTTCACCTCTATTTGGTTGCTTCTTGTTTGTTCAGTTATTGTATTCCTGTTATAGCTGACTAAGGACTCGGCATAAAGTAATGTGTTTAACCTATTTCAAATGTTGCTAGGATATAGGAATTGGAAAAGTCCAACCCGTTAGCAATTAATCACCAACAGGTTTGGGCTTTGGTTTGGTCCTTTTTGGCCAAGGCGTAAAAGGCTGTGCATGTGTGTGTATTTACATATGTATAAGAATTGTACGTCGTTTAGAATGGAATTTTTTCATTTTACATCGGGGAGGAATCTTTGATAACAGTCAAGTGGAGCGATAGAGGTGTAAGTCAGTCGTTGAGTTCATAATTTATTTATTCTAGTCGTTGAGTCCACATGAAAATCGTCTTTGAGGGTTGTGTGTGTGATAATTTCCCGCGACTTAGTTGTGATTTGTAATTACTAAAATCCGGGGTACATTTCATGTGGTCCGGTTCTAATTCCCAACGAGGTTAAATAGAACGTGTCGTGAATCACGGGTGCATTTCATGTAGCGTGATTTGCGACGTGTTTTAAATAACCTTGAAATAATTCCTTAAATAATTAAAAGCGGTTTAAAAAGGAATAAAAATGCACATAGGTTCAAAATGTTCTTTAAATCAGATAATTATGCCAATAATAACAGTTGAGCGACCGTGCTAGAACCACGGAACTCGAAAATGCCTAACACCTTCTCCCGGGTTAACAGAATTCCTTACCCGAATTTTTGGTTCGCGGACTGTTAAACAGAGTCATTGTTTTCCTCGATTCGGGATTTTAAACCGGTGACTTGGGACACCATAAATCTCCCAAGTGGCGACTCTGAATCTTTTAATAAATAATCTCGTTTCGATTGTCCTTTAATTGGAAAAAACTCCCTTTATTAAGCCCTCTTCCGGGGGTTTAGTGAAAAAAGGAGGTGTGACAACACCGAAGCTGTAGACGTCAGTTTTTTTACTAGCAATACCCGATTGCATGTATTCAGGATCTAAATACCCAGAATTACACAACATATTTTCTTTTAAAGTTTTGTACTTTAGGCTTGCTGAAAACAGATGATTGTATAATAAATATGGTGTTTGTTGTATGATTTGGAGAAAAAAATCAGCACCTTTAAAAAGGTGTCTTGTGTTCTGTTATGCCTATTTCAGTATAATGGATAAACAACATCTGAATTCCAAAATAGTTGGGTTGATTATATGATCCAAAATAGTTCTGTTATGTCTTAATTCTTTAAAACTAGATTGTTTTTATGTTTATTGTCAGCTCAGTATTGTTGCATCTTTGTCCGAGCTTGAGACGACTTTGCTTTGTGACATAGGCTGTGTTATGTTTTATAAGAAGAACAAAAGGAAAGATGTAGGCTCTAGGCTGTGTTATGGTGGTTGCTGTATGATTTGGGAAAAAGATTCAGTTATCCTGAAAGGGTATGTTAGTAATGTTTTCTTATGCCTATATTAGGAATCATACTTGAAATATGCTTATCACTATGGCAATTTGTACTTTGAAGAGACCCGGAGAGCTTTACTTTGCTAGATCTTTCATGTTACTAAAGTTCAAGGGTTCAACTAATTTTTGGGCTTATGCATGTCTCACACAATTCCTTCCCCGCCTTCCCCAAATTGTCTCAACAAAGAAACCTTTTTATAAAGGCCTCAAAATTACAACTTGGTCCTATAGGAACTTAGAGTATGGTTCCTCAATAATATAACAAGAAAAATGAATCTAACTTTAACTATCTATTGGTGATTATATTTAGGTGACAATCAGGCAAACACACCAAAAAGTAATTGTGTCTTCTAAGGAAATTAGTGACTTCCTGATGATTAATAAGGTTTGAGCTTCCTCGAGGATCGTCCTTGACTAGTAAGCAAAGTTTAGATGAAACTAGAGTTCGTATGAGGATCTGCCAAGTAAAATAACTGCTGACATATTATATCAAATAAAAGTCAAGTTCTGTTGGCATTGGATTCTCTAGAGTAGAGCAACATTACTTGAGATGGTTTGAAAGGGGTTGGGAAATTGACTAGGATATGATTAGTGAATTTTAGTAAGGATGAGCAACAACAATCATCGAGATAGTTTGCTATGTTCCAAATATATTCTTTTATTAATAAAAATTGGGGTAAGATCTACCGAAATGGGTAGTCTTAAGCCCTTAAACGGATGTGTGTGGTAACAGGTAAAGCCCGAAGGTTGTTCCTGTCTCTATGGGAGGAGATGCCAACCGTCTCTCCTTTCTACGAACACATGTTCCAAATATAATGCTTGAATCTTCTACATTCAATTACTAGAAAATAGCAAGATCATTTTGTTCTAGGGGACATGACAGTATGAAGATTTTGATTCAGGAGTTTCTATGATATGTAATTTTATCCCCTTAGATATGAACTTACATAGCTTGCCTAGTAATGATCGATGGACCTACATGATGCACATTGTTTGTTCGTTGATTCAGTAAGGTGATTTTTCTGCTTATCCCAGGTTCGAAGTTGAAAAATTTTTGTGTCTCTTGTCCTGCACTTATTCACTCGGTTGCACCTCACAAATTGAAGACTCTAAATTGCTCGTTCCTGGTGCCATCTCTTAGGTAGTTTTCTTTTTCACCTTATGTCATATGGACTTTCCTCTTTTTGGTTCTCAATTAAAGCAAGTTTCGTGGACCTATAAGCATACCCTCCTCTTTTTAGACTTTATCCTCATCTGGATGAACGGGCTATAAGTAAGTTACATCGTTCAAGTATTGACTTGTCTCCAGCTATAAACGAGGCAATTTCCCAAAAGTTTGCTTGTTATCATTCCAGAGACAAAATTGGCTCGTCTCCAGTGAAATAAGGCAATATCCTTTTTGTTCATTTCAGTGGATGTGCCAAAAGTTACTCATCTATGTATGTTTATTGTAAAAGCTTCTTCTCCTTTCTTTTTTGGGGGTACTTTTATTCAAAGACCTTAGCAGTATTTGCAGCAGTAGCAGACTAGCGTTACAGCATGCAAAATCTCCCTTCGATTGGTGGCAATGGTACTTTGTATTTTTTGTATAGATGCTAAAGCTTGTCTATAATGTGCTCATATTTTACTCTTGATAGAGTCACTGTGACTTCTATACTTTTGCTTTCTCCAATGACAATAGTTTATTCTTATTTGCGTGGCTACTATGACAAATCACTGTTGCGCCAACTTACTTGAGATTGTGTGCTTGTGATGACAAATTGGTTTCTCCTAACTCCTATGAATCAAGAGAACTTCACCCCGCTTCTGTTTTGATTTTTATCTTAAATTTTGTATTGCCTTATAGTGTGTTTTGCAAGTGGGTTAGTCAGTAGTCACAACTACAGTTGCATAAAGGCAGGGATTAAAGTTGTGGCTTCCTAGCCATACTCATTTTAAATTCTCCAGCTTTACTATGCAAACCTATCAATATGTTTAAGCTCTAGAATTTATCTGTTTTCCTCGTCCTCGTATAAAAACTTTTGCTTGAGCTAAAGTTAGAGTCCGTCCTCCAGGAATATCCAGGAACCTTTGTCCTGAATATTTTTTTTTGTTTCATAGAGAAATTAATTTTATTACCAAAGCAGGAGGTT